TCGCCATTGGTAGAGAAAGCAGACAATTATAGCAGTGTGGCCTTGCGCCGGCCCTCTCCCACCCTAAACCCTAAGCCCTAAGCCCTAAGCCCTAAACCCTAAACCCTAAACCCTAAACCCTAAACCGCCACTTCCGAGGTCGGCGGGGTCTGCGGCTGGAGTTGCGGCTCCAAGCATTCGCCTCTCAACCTTAGGGGCTGCGATGACAACGGCAAGATCGAGGTGCAGTGCCAGGGAGCCATCCCCCAAACCCCCTAAACCCTAACCCCTAAACCCTAAACCCTGAGTTTAGGGTTTAGGGTTTAGGGTTTAGGGCCCCAAAACCGTGCCTACCGACTCTACACATCTCTACACCCTCCGGATTCCGATGTATCCAGCCTTTTGCGTGCACAGTTTCGGGCTTCTGATTGCAAGATACCCAGGGCCTGTGAAGCATCACAGACGTTGAGCAAGCGCTTCTGTTTCTGTTTGTGACGTGCAGTTCACACGGCTTCTATCTTATATGCTCGTTTTTATTTTTCTGTACAACAAACAACCACTGATATTTCTTATTCGTTCCAGTAGTACTGTACGACTACTCTTCAATACCTACTGTGGAGCCCTCCTTGCAGCGTACTTCGGAGCTTTGGACGCAGTGCCCGCCTTTCTTGCACCTCTCGACCTGTGCGCCGGGCCTGCCATCTCTGCAAGTGCCAGGGGCCACGACTTACTGCAACTGATCGCCTCTTCAACATGAGTACGAAGATGAACATGAGTATTGATACTGATCTTCGTCGTCTTCTTCGTCTGCTTCTTAGACCCTTCTTCTCAGCTGCCGTGGTTATCGCAGTGGGGCGATTGCTGATCCTCCGGATGTGCAGGTCACGAGGACATCGTTTGCCGGCAAGAACTATCACAATGCCAACTTTCAAGGTAAAGCACGGGCCTCAGGTTTTTGTAATCATATTCAGAGTAGCTCGTAGGTTCTTGTAGTCATGTTTTGAAAAGCTGGCGACGGAGAAGTGCAGAGACCAGCATGTTGAAGAGGCCACGAAGATGTCCCATGAACATCTGCGCCTTCTCGATGTCGTCTTAAACCCTAAACCTCAAGGGTAAATCCTAAACCCTCAGCCCAAACCCGAAACACCGAACCCTCAACCCTCAGCCCTAAACCATACACCCGAAACCTAAGTCCTAAGCCCTAAACCCTACAGCCTACGTCCGCCTTGTGTCTTTCCTAGTGACCTAGTGCAGCTCCGCTTGGGATGAGCTCTCGCCAACGCACGAAGAGGGTCCATTGCACTTTAAAGCAAAATAGGCTTAAATCCCAACTCCTAAACCCGAAACGCGAAATCCTACACCCTCAGCCCCCTACTCTCGAGCTTCTCTTCGGCCAACCCTGATACTGGCAGTCGGTTTCGTTCTATCACGTTTTGCCAGTGCAACCTTGGTTCCATCATGTAGTGCCATCATCATGTTTAGTAGTGTTATTGTTATTTTCTTATCATTATTATGACTGATATCAAGATATCAATGCCTAAACTAGTGAGACTGGAAAGAAGAGGAATGACTAATTCCAATTCGCGAGTCTTGTCTTCCTATATAAGAACATGTACGACTGGCCGGACCTTGCCCGCAACTTGCCATCAGTGCCAGATGTCGCCTTTGCTGCATGATGGGCCGCCGCCGCAAGTAGGATTGATGCGAAATCACTGTCATAATCCTCCTGTTCTTCCGTCGCACCTGCAGATTCTGAGCACAACAACTGCTTATTATTTCTCGTTGTGTTAGAGGAATGGAGTCGTTGTGTTGTGGTTTAGGCTGCCTCAGCAAAAGCTCTCCACCTTCTGCTACTGAGCCGGCACAACAGGAGCCCATGCCGTGAAGTAACGTGTTTATGCTTTTGGGATGTGGTGAGTGTATCTTAACCTCGGAACCCTTTGTGGGTGTATACCTCGGGTAGTACTCATCGTAGCCAGTGGTGTGTGGCGTCGGCCTCGAGCCGAGACCAAGGTGGTCATCCGGCAATGCCCTGAGGCAGGAACTTGCGTGGTTGGGGGCTTCGGAACCTGAGCCCTAAACCCTGAACCCTCAACCCGAAGCCGTCACCAACGCAGAGTTGTCGGAGAACTTCATGGAAAGACAAAACCCGACTAGCACAGGCCCCAAAGCTCAAATCCCAACCCCAAGCATGCGTGCAGGTAGACGAGGATGGACACTGCGTCACTAGCGAAGCCGTCTTCTCACATTGGCGGTGTGGGACGCTCAGTCACGGAATGCCTGCGGTCTGTGGTATGGGTTTGGCGTGTTTGTCCGCCATTGTGGTTTCGGGTCCTTACCCCGAAGCTTTATAGATAATATATATTATATACCATATTTGCTGTGTTATATTGTATATATATATATATACATATAAATGAGTATATATTGTGCATATCTTCAATCAGCCAGTTGAATCCTGAGCCATCGTGTTGAGTGGCGATGCCGAAGCGGGACGTGCAGGCCACAACTGCAAGTACAACCCGAACGAGATCGAGGAGGACTCTGGTGTTGTAGTGTTTTACTTTGGGGTTTAGGGTCTAGGGGTTT